TGTGAAGGCCATGTGACTCTATCTTCTCTGTTAGGGTGTTCAGTGCAAGGGGAAGCAAGGAGGTTCTCAGCTGAGGCCTTGGCTGTTGGTGCTGGTTTGGCAGTCGTTAGGAATTCTTAGAGGCTTTGTAGTGTCAGGAAGCCCATCGTAGGCCTGAGTTCTTATCTCTGGGTCCACAGGCTCATCTTCAGGAGCTGTGAACTCACCCTCCTCCTTCAAGTGGCATCAAATTGTGCATTTGGTGGAGGCATAGTTCTCATCAGATTCTTTGTTACCAGAAAAGTCTGTGATCAAAACCACTGTTTTAACCCAAAGAAGAATGGCCCTTCTAATAAAAAAGAGGATGTTTTCCTACAAGAGCTGGATTCTAGTTGGATTGCTGGCACTGAGTATTGGAGACCTCAGGGTGATTCTAGAAAGACACCCAGATCATCACCTTCACACTGTGATTGCTTCCCAGGACCTTTGCATTCCCCTGCAATCAGAATTTATGGGTTAGGGACCATATGGATTCAGTTGGCACAGATCCAGAGAGCTGAACCCCTTAGAGTTGGACCTTGTGGTCTGACACCCACCTCCAAGGAGGACGACAGAAGAGAAAGAACAGACCCCGCAGGTATGTGGAGGGGGAGAAGGGAGCCATGTTACCCTGTAAGCATGGAATATCTATGAGCATGGTTCCTAGGCTTTTAAGTGAATCCCAGCATAGTCATTCTAAAAACCCCTAACAACCTGAGTTCTGGGCAGATTCTGGTCTCCATTTCAGGGCGACAGTTCTGATATTCCCAGAAAACATCAAGAGTATATGGTGCATAACAGTGAACAACAAAGGAAAGGAAAACTAGAAAAGGGAGAAAGTGCATAAGAAGAAGCTTCTCAAATTAGAGTAAAATATTGAACTTGGTTACGAAAGCACAGAACCTTAACGTGACAGCCTCTCCGATTTTGACAACCCCTCTACTTTAGTTTTTTAAGTCCTGGCCACAATTTAAATAGGGAACCATATCTGTTGAGACTTCCCAAGGGTTACGTAAACAGTTTGGATGGTTACATTTTTTTAAACAACAGTTTCTGAAAACACTGAAAAAAATCCCACTTATTTAACCATCTGATGCCTGAGCCAGCCCTGGGAGTCCCTAGGAGGCCTTGCAGAATCACTTCCTCCTGACGGGGGGTTGGGGGGTGGGGGAGGCAGGGCCCTGGCTTGGTCAGGAATCTGGGAAAGAGAGCAGAGGAGGAAGAGCCTGGTGCAGTGGGAGGAAAAAGGAGGCCTCAGATTGCTCCCCATAAGGGCAATTGTGTATCACCAGCAAGAGCAGGGACCCAGGATACAGCAGATATAGGTCTTCTGGGGGTTTGGCCCTTAAAGGAGGGAGAATATGATCAGTTACAGTCTTCCCATTTGAGATCTGATATGATGGTAGGAACAAGGTTCCGGGGCCCCTAAGTCATGGTGGAAATCTTCCCTTCTTTCTTAAAGTCTTAGCAGCCTCAGTGGCCTTGAGGGTTTCTTAAACCTGTGGGGCTGGGCTTTATCTGAGAAGTGCCCATGTCTCTTTTGAGACATCCTAGTTGCCAACTCCCGTCCCCACTCCAGTAGCCTCCGAAAAGCCGTCTACACAGAAAAACTGGTCTTATGCACCAGTGGGCATAGCTTAAAGGATAGCAAGAAGGCCTTTCTGCTTTAACGTCATCCTCTCCCCTCAGGTTTTAACTGTATCTCAATTTTGCCATTAGGAATATATTTTTAGTTAAGCATTCTCCTTCCCCAGATGATATTTTGGAAGTGCAGTTAGCTAAAGATGCATAACTCATTAGTGTAAATTAACTTTATCAAACTGGTGCACTCTATTTAAAGAGGGCCTGGTCTAGTCGTTCTTAGCCTTTTTGAGGTCATATACCCCTTCCAGAATCCAAGGAAATAGATGGGCCCTTTCCCCAGAAAAATGTACAAGCATCCAAAATTTTGCATACCATTTGTGGATTTCAAGGACCCCGTGGACCCTGCCCTGGAGTTGTGAGTTCTTATGAGAGGATGGTAAATGGGAAGAGGTAGCGGTGAGGGGTGGGCAACAGTTCAAACCGAGAACCTGGGTGCTACTAGAGATCACTTTGTGGTTTTCCCCAAGAGCAGTAATGTGAACTTATCAGAAATGAATGTCTGTCACCTGGCTGTGGTTACTGCCCTGCCCTAGAGAGAAGGTGTGCTTCTGTCAGCAGTCATGTTGGGAACTTGTGCACCACATCGCTGAGCTCCCAAGACCATGTGCAGTGTATTTCCATGAAGCTGTATGGGGAGAAAACTGTCCCGTGGACACTGGAGCTGGCTTTCTGCTGGAGGAGGCAGAAGACAACTTGTGTCCATCTGGTGGGTTGGAGTCCTCTTGACAAGGTGACAGGGGCCATCAGCCTGCTACCACCACCCCCCAGCATAAAAGGTGGGGGTTTAGTCACTCCGGACTGTATACTCGTAACTTTGAGCCTGAGATCTCTTTTATTTTCTTTGGGGAAGTCAATTTTACAAGGCACCTTGTGATTCCCTGGGTGTTGTTCTGTTCACACTGGGGGAAACATGGGGAAAGTTTTTGGATCTAGGCTTCATCTGAAAGCATCGCAGGGGATTTTGGAAGTGAGGCAGCATAGTGAAACAAGCGTTGTGATCATCTGTAGTCCCGTGCTTGTTATGTGAAGCTCCTCCTGTCTGTGGTGACTCAAGGAGGGGAGAATTTCCCCTTCTTGAGCCAGCTGGACAAGTGTCAACACTGCTCTCTTTGTAGGCTCTGGCACAGAGGAGGAGGAGCAGAGCCTGGACTAGGGGGCGTCTTCAGGGTCTTCAGGACTGGACCCACTTTAACACACATGAAAAGGGGTGGTCCTTCTCTTCAGCCACCATGCCCCTGCCCCCACAGAGCCATCCCTAGCACCTGGCACAGCACCTTATTCTAACTGGGCACAGCACACCCTTGTTGAATTGGTCAGAAGCTCACCTCTCACCCACATCATGTCATAAAGCCAAGCCCAGGCTCATCAAGTGGGCACACCCTCATGATCAGAGGCTGTCCTCTCACACGCACCATCTAACTTTCTCCTTCACTTTTTGGGTTTTTTAATATTTGTAATTTTTGTTATTATTTCTATGTTCACTAGATTTCTTGATAGTAAAATAAAGATTTCTTAAACAGGATACAAAAAGCACTAGTCGTAGATGAAAAGATAGATAAATTGAACTTGCATGAACTTTTGTTCATCAAAAGTTACTATTAAAGGAGTGAAAAAGTAAGCCACAGACTGAGATCTTCGGTAACATACCCGATAGAGGACTTGTATCCAGAATGTACAAAGGACTCCTGCAAGTCAGTATGAAAAAGACAGACAAAATAGGCAAGAGTCTTGAACAGGAATATCTCAAAAGTAGATATCTAAATAGCCAATAAGCAAATTAAAACTAATAAGATACCCTTATATACTCATCCAAAGGACCAAAAGTTAAAAGATTGATAATACCAAATAGTGGCAAACCCTCATTCATTGCTGGCAGGAGTGTAAATTGGTATAATCACTTTGGAAACTGTTTAGCAATATCTACTAAAGCCAAGATTAGACCTGTCCCATAAACCATCAGTTCCACTTCTGGGTATACACTCAAGAGGAATGAGTACATGTATCCACCAGTGTTTGTAGTATCTTTATCCATAGACATCCCAAACTGGAAACAACCCAAATATCCATCCACAATAGAATGGACAAATAAATTGTATCATAGCCATACAATGGAAAACACCACAGCAATTTTAAAAAGGAACAAACTATGGCGACACATAACAACATAGATGAATCTCACAGACTTGTAGAGTGAAAGAAACCAGACACCAAAAAAGTACATATTTTATGATTCTGTGTTGCTGGAGGATAGGATCATACCTTTCATCTCTGAAGCCCCAGTGCCTAGCACAGGTCCTGCCACATATAGCAGCCCTGAGTAGATGTTTGTTGACAGAGTGAGTGAAGTAAGACATGGCCTTTACTCCCCAAGGTGTTTCCAGAGTAACGTTTGTGTGTGTGTTAGAGTGGAATCAGTCTGGGAGGCAGTTAACAAATGCTCACAGTTCTCTAAAATGAAGCAGAAAACACGTGCTGCAAAGAGAAGCAGAAATGAAGCCCTTTCACCCGAATGGGGAGGGGGATGGCAAAGGGGCTGTGGGTTCCACGAAGAGGCCTTCGCAGGTGCGCAGAGGACTAGGAGAGCTTCCTGAAATGACTGGTATTGAGCTGAACTTTGAAAGGTGGTTTGAGAAGACAATAGCGTGAAAAGGCCTGACAAGGGCAGCCCAGGCTCAGGGAATGGCATAACCAGGTGGTTCTCAAGCTATAGCGCATGTCAGACTCACCTGGAGGACTTGTGAAAACACGATGGCTAGGGCCCAGCCCAGAGGTCCTAATTCAGTAGGTCTGGGGCAGGGCCTGAGAATCTGCATTTCTGACAAGACCCAAGTACTACTGATGCTGCTGGTCTGGGAACCATACTTTGAGAACCACTGGCTTAGGCCAAAGTCAGCTGGTTCAGGCAATTGCATCTCTCTTGAGCCACAGTGTTAGGTAAGCCAAGTGCAAGATGATGAGGGGTGTGGACAGGTGGAGTGGGCCTGGAAGCCTTTGGCTGCTGTCTGAGAAGTTTAGACGTAATTCTATAGACTTAATTTAGGGCTACATGGATGGACATGTGTGATAACTGGTCTCCAGGGTATCCTACTCCAGGGTCTGGGTACCCTCAGCCAGAAGCTTAAAGCTATACAGATGTGCAGGTGATAAACACATACTAAGTTTGGCTTTGCAGAGACAAGGCTGGCTCATAGCACACCTGCCTAGGGAGGCACAGTTTACACTGATAGACAAACAAGAAGGAGTTATTTTAAATATATGACATCAGGAATATTTGTAGCCATGCAGTACATGTCTGCTGTGAGGATGGCAGGTGGAAGAAGAATCTGCTGATCTGACCATTCAGGCAAAAGCGGCAGATTTACTCTTAATAAAGAGGGAATTGCTCTGAATTTTTCTTTTTCTTGGCTCACAGACCTCCCAGATTCCCAAGGAAAAAGATGTTACACCGCACACCCAGTCTATTTCTATCACCAGGGAGACACCTAAATCTAGGAGGTTTCCCCTAAATGGTCTCTCATTGGCTAAGGAAGGGAGAGTTAGTTGCCTGGGTGGGGTTTGGGGAGGAGGGCACGTTCTGTGAATGCGCCAGGTGAAGAGTCCCTCCCCCTTCCCAAGGCCATCCTGGTCAGGACACTAGACCAGCAGGACTGGACTACCCCTTTCCCAGATGACCCAGGCTTGAAAAGCAGAGGCCATCTGTCATCCTATGTACTGGCTTCCAGTTACACCTCCAATAAACTACACTTACTGAGTATTAATTTTCTGCAAAGTAATCTACTGGGTGTGGTAGAGACACAGATGAATCAGCCATGGACCTGCCCTCCAGAAACATAAAATGTAATGCGGGGAGAGGAGATAGAGGCCATTCTTGGTCATTGAAAACCCTCCTACCTGGTGCCTTGTTTCCTCCCTCTGTGTCCCTTGCTTAGGTCTAGTTGCCTTCTGTCCCTCACTCCCTAGTGCTGGGGGCAGGAGTTCTCACTCATTCAGCAGGATACTGGGATCATAGAGATGAGTAAATCAAGATGCTTGTGATCTGGTGGGGAGCACTTCCTGCCCTGTAGCTGGAGATAGGCCAGTCCTGAGCAGGTGCCCTGCAGCCACTACTCCTGCTGCTGGGGCCATGGCCATTAACTCTGGGCTGAGGAAACCCGATTCCCCTTGCTGGCTGGGCTCCACATTGATAGAGGCAGCCTGGGGATCCCCACCTTTGCATCCGCCTGTCCCAGACCAGCCAGACCACAAGCCTCTGGGGGTTGCAGCTGCTGCATGCGTGATGATCCACGGGAAGATGATGTGGGGGTCAGGTGACTACCAGTGCCCCACCGACTCCCTGATGACTTCCTTCCTCTTGGAGTTCTGCCTGCCTTTTCCCTCAGGGATGTGGGAACTGGCTTGCTTCCTCCTCACTCCTGAATCCCATTTGCAAGAGAATCACCTAGAAGAGAGCAGGGGCCCAGAAAACAGAAAGAGGTTTAGATCTTGCTCTCCCACTCCTCAGCTGTGTGACTAGGGTAAGGCACCTAACCATTCTGAGCCTCAGTTTCCTTATCTGTAGAGTGGAGATAATGACCTTGCTTACTTCATAGTGTTGTTCAGAGGCACAGAGGATAGAGAGGCAAAAGTCTTGTCCTTAAGCTGCTCTGAAGCCTAACAGAGGAGTTGGACAAGCACACACACAGAGTGATGTGTACCACACCCAAGGCATGTTTGGGGTGCAATGGTGAGCAGAGTGGAGGCAAACTACTTCTGTCTAACAAGGGGAAACTGCAGAGCTTCCTGTCCCTGCCATGGGGTGTGGGGCATGGGGGAAGCAACTCTCCAAGGCTTTGGAGTCTAGGGTTTGTTGAACACCAGACACTGTGTTAAGTATTTTACCCATGTTTTATTTAGTCCTCACAATAAGCCTGTGACATAGGTGTTATTATCCCCATTTTACAGACAAGCCAACTGAGGCTCAGAAAGGCTCATGCATTGACCTGGCATAGCATTTATTGAGCCCCTACTACGTGCTAAATGTTACAAATATAACACTAAACAAAACGGATCCAAGTCCCTCCCTCCTGGAGCTTACATTCCACAGGCGAAGGCATTTGCTCAAGATGAGGCTGGAAGGTGCCAGAGCCAGGTGGCCTCCTGGGCTTGTGCTTCTTTCACCTCACCCCAGAACTAACTGCCCCTCAGGACACTCCTCTCACGGGGAGCGTAGACTGTCCCTGCCAGTCCCTCTGGAGAATTCAAGGATTCAGGAGCAAGGCTGGGTCAGAGATAAGAGAGGAGCTGCTGTTTCTGTAGAACCCTCTGCTTCCTGAGGACTCCCCAGCAGCCTTGTCCCAAAGAGGCTAAATGCCTGACCACTGGGCTATTTCCCCAGGGAAGGATGGAGGGAGGAGCTTCCCTAAGGGGTTTTCAAGGGCGGATGGGGGTGCTCTCTGTGGTTGGGTCAGAGAGTGGCACCCTCTTCCTAGCTGAGGTGGGGACTCCCTTTGGATTTCACTGGGTTTATGGGAGGGACCTATTTTTTTCCTACTGCTCAGGCCCTCAAGGGAGGAAAACTCCAGGACCAGGGTATGTCAGAGGATTGAATCAGCTTCTGGCATCTGAGTGAACTCGGGGCTTCTTGGGTTCACGGCTCAGCCCTGCCCTTCCACTGCCCTCAGCCTCAGGCTGCCTCCTGATGCCGTGAGACCTGTGGCACTCCCGTTGGGCAGTGGCACTTTGTTTTAACACAAGGAAACAATCAGCCTCCTTCACTAAGAAAAAAATATACAAGATTGCTCATTATAGCATTTACTCATAGTAGCAGTCACTTGGAAACAATCAAAATGGCGAATGTTTATGGATTAAATAAAATATAGTGAAAGTTTGCATTCAATGGAATACTGTGCAGCCATTAAAAATCATCATGCAGAAGAAAATTAAATGAGAAGAGTCCTAATAGATTTAGTCAAAATTCTTGACTGAAACAACGTACACAAAACAGAATTTACAACATGATCTCATTTTTTAAAAATATGTCCATATATGCATAGAAGAATGTCTAGAAAGATGCATATCAAATATCAACAGTAGTTATCTCTGGGCAGTGGAATTGTAAGTGACTTGTTTTCTTCTGTTTTCAGTATTTTCTAATTCCTTCAGTGAAAATGCATGTCTTTTGTAATCGTGAAGAAAAATTGCCCGCAATATACATTAGAGAGAGAAGAGAAGGAGAGTGTCTCCTTCTGGCCCTGTACTTAGATGGCCCCAGGCCCCACCCAGCCTCGGGAGACTCCAAAGCCTGAGAGTAGTGGGGTAGGAGCTAGCTTGAGGAGAATTAGCCAGGTGTCATCGTCCAGGTCCCATCTTAAATGCCATCTCCAGAGAGGCCAGCTGACCACCCGCCCTAGCTGAAGAAGGCCCCTCCCACATTTTCTCCCTCTTTCACCCCATTTTTTCATCTTCCTTGCACTTGTCTGCATCTGAAGTGACCTGCCTGCTCATCTATTTCCTTGGTGATTGTCTCCTCCACCAGAAGACAAGCTCCCTGAGAACAGGGCCCCTGCCTGCCTTGCTCCCTCTGCCTTCTCCTCGGGAGAAGGGGCCCAGGTGGGATCTTGGTTTGTAAGGAATGGAGGACTTGCTCAGCAGTCCCAAGCTTTGGGTATGGATCCTAAGGCTACACGTGACAGTGAGAACACAAGACCAATCTCACGGGAGTCTAGAAACAGGCAGATAGCCAGCTCATGGGGCCAGAATTGGATGAAGCCCAGCAACCTGGAGAACCTGGTCCAGCTTGGTGACAATGGCTGCCATTTACAGGTGTTATGGAAGTGCCAGCTTTGTGCTTTACATTTTGTGAACGAGTGAAGTGAAGGTAGAAGCAGTTTATCTTCAGCCCCTACCCCTTCGCTCCCAACGCTCCTGCTGCTGCAGCCCCCTGTCCCCCAGCTCACGACTTCAGCTCTTCTCTTTGGAACCCATTCCAATCAGCTTCTCATCCCAGCCACCCCACTGAATCTGCCCTTAACCAAGATCACCTGTGACTCCAAGATGCTAAATCCAATTAGTAATTTTCTGTCCTCATATGACTTGACCTGTCACAGCGGATTGCTCCATCCTCCTTGAAACCCTTTCTCCTGGTTTCCCTCTTACTGTACTTGCTACTCCTTTTCAGTCTCTTTTGCTAAGCAATTGAATGGGGCTCAGTCCTTGGACAGCTTCTCAGTTGACAATCACCCCCTTAGTGATCTAATCCTATGTCATGGCTTTAAAGAGCTACATGCTGAGCACTGGCAAGTCTTTATTTCCAGCCTGGATGTCTCCCCTGAACTCCAGACTCATCTATCCACCTGCCTACAGGCCTCTGTACTTGAGTATCTAAAAGGCATCTCAAACTTAAAATGTCCAAAACTGAGTTCCTTCTCTTACCCCAGACATGCTCCATTAGCAGGCTTCTGCAATCAGATAAAGACAATGCTGTCCTCCAATTTGCTCCCACTTCCAATCCATCAGCAAATCCTGTTGGCTCTACTTTCTAGAATCCAACCATATCGCAAAACCTCCATGCTATCTCTCTAGACAAGTGACCATTGTCTCTTTCTGGGATTTCTGCAGTAGCCTCCTGCCTGGTTCTACCTATGCTCCCCAATTTATTCTCAATACACATCCAGAAGTGACACATCATATCACTTCTCTTTGTAGAATTCTCCAGTGGCTCCCATTTGAGTCAAAGCTCAAGTTCATACAAGGGCCCTCCTTTAATGCTCTGCGCACTCTGGAACCTCTCACTGCCTCTCTGATCCCCTCTCTTACTTCCCCTTCACTCATTCTACTGATCTCCCCACTGATCTTTACCATGTCAGGCAGACTCTCACCTCCGAACCTTTGCACATGCTGTTCTCTCCACCTAGAAAGCTTCTTCCCCATTAATTCTCAGGGTTCATGTCCTCATTTCTTTCAGATCTTTGTTCACAATTCACCTTCTCAGATGTGTGGACTTCCCTGGCCATGCTATTTAGCATTTCAGCACTGCTTCCCACCTCTTGCTCCAACACTCTCTTCCCCTATTCCTGCTGTATTTTTCCTCCAGAGCACTGACATCTTCTGACTACTGTATATTTTATTCCTTTCTTTCTTTGGTTGTTGCAAAGCTGCTCCATGAGGCAAGGGTTTTGTCTGTTTTGTCTACTGCTGTATCGCCAAGAACCCAAGGTCAGTGCCTGGCATGTAGTAGCTGCTCCATAAATATCCAGTGAATGGATGTCTGAATAAAAACATATGAAAAGACCACTTACTGTTTATACAAGGCCTTGAGGCAAGGTGGAAAGAGCACTGGGGTTTCTGCCAGCATAGGAGCATTAACAGGCCAAGTGAGAAAGTAATGCCCCGAGTAGAGAGTGCCCCTGTGCGGAGGTCACAGTCCCTGTGTCTGCCCTGGACCTGCCTGCAGTCAACTCTCACCTCTCTGGCTTCTGAAGAACTCGCAGTCGATGAGCACTTGTCACTCACTCTCCAGCCAGGCTTGCTTTGCCCGAAGGCCCACCCTCCATGCTCTGCCTCAGTCATTTACTTTCCTTCTTTTCTCCAGGTGCCAGCGTTTGCAACCTGTTGGAGGAAAACAACATCAAGGTAAGAAAACAATAAGACTGTGTCTAGTTTGGGACTTCTCAACTTAAAAAGCCTTGGGAGGTATTCCGGGAAGCCAGAGTACTGAAAGCGTTGGCAACTGGATAACATGAAGGTCCGGGGGACTCGTGTTGGCTTCCTGGATGGAGTGTGGGCACTGGCGGCGGTGAGGACAGCTCAGTATCAAGGAGTGGATCATCAGAGGTGGGGTGAGGTCCTCAGAGCGAGGGAGACAGTGCTTCCCTTGGGAAAACATGGCAAACTCCCCCCAGCCCACAGCCTGGCCCTCCTGCCCTGTCTTCCTTGCCTCCTTGCAGGCCTCTCCCCTTCCTCGCTCCCTCTGGAGGTTCTGCCCAGCCTGCTGTGGTCGGGCCAGGCCTCAGCAGGGTCTCTAGGTCTTTTTTTATATTTAGGCAAGGATGGTTTGGTTCTAGATCTAGAAGAATATACCAGATCTTCCAGCATGGGGGTTCTCTGATTCTGTGTTAAATTGCAGTCCAAATTTTAAAAACTGAAAATACTCAGTAAGTAATGGATGTGAGGGAATGTGCAGCCGGGTGTACTCCTGATGTGACTGGAAGAGGGGCAGCTTTTAGAAATGTGTGTAGCCTTTGACCAAGCAATTCCACTTTCCAGAATTTATCCTAGGAAAATAATCACATTTGTGCAAAGGTGTATGTACAAAGATGTTTATAACTGCATTGTTTATAATAGAAAAAAAGGAAATATTGGAAAACCCAACAAAAAGGAATTGGTCATTTAAAACCTGGCGCATCCCTCAAGGGCATGTCATGCAGCACAATGACCTAGGTGTATGTTGACAAGAAAGATGTTTGCATATATTGCTAAGCAAAAAAAAGAAAGAAAGAAATGGGAAAAGCTTACAAAACTTGCAAGGAAAGCAGCTTTAGGCTCAGCCTGGAGGGTTGAAATCCAGATCAGCCTCTTAACTGGTATGGGAACTCAGGCAAGTGATGTCATCATCTCCCTAAGCCTCTGCTTCCTGCCTGTAAAATGGGCATGATAACACCTGCCTCACAGAGCAGTGAGGGTTTCGGGGGATTTATACATCTAAAGGCCCCAGCACAGGCTCTGGTATATGGTGAGTGCCTAGCAGATGGGTACCAAGGTGAGATGTGGGCTAATGGTATTTTTACCTGTGTATAAGCCTGGAAACATTCTGGACATTCATAGACAAATAGTGGTTTTACTTTTGGTAGAATTATGGGTGATTTTCAATATTTTCTTATTTTTCTACAAGGAATACGTGTTACATATATAATGCTGATGTAATTAAAAAAGAAAAAAAAGGACATAACAATTGAAAAGGTTTAAAAAAAGAAACTGCAGTCCATTTGGCAGGCAGGCCTGCTGAGCGGCCCCCAGGCAGAGCTCTGGAGGGCTGAGGTGGAGGCAGGGAGGAGGGGGAAGAGGAAGGGCGGTAGGGGAAGGAAAAGAGAGAAAAGGACCGTTGGGTGTGAGGGCTGGTGTCCAAGGAGATGTACCTCAGAGGTAAGGCTCAAGCCCCTGCAGGCATGTTCCCCACTTTGGCCCCTCTCTAGGGAGCCCCTGGTAGGAGATATGGGGACTCAAGGTCTATCTGTCCTTTCAGATGACAATGAGTGTGTGCAGCCACCTTCAGCTGCTGAGAAAACCTGACTCTGGCACATCTGGGGAGGGGCCCTGTGGCTCCAGCCCTGGGGCAGCTCCTCCCCCACCTTCAGAAACCCAGCATCTTGTCTGTGTCCAGATAGCAAAGGCAGGGAATCCTAGTGAATTCCCAGAAGTCACCCTAAAGGATGACTAGCTTCTCTCTTCTTTGCCAGCCTTTTAGGATTCGTCCTCAAGAGCAGAGTCTCCCAAGCAAATGCGACCTTCTGGGAAAGGGAGCTGGTGACCACCCAAGGGCTGCTGTGCCTGCTCCCCCTCCCCACCCCCACCCCACCAACTGCCTTTCCCGCCAGTGATGTCAGGAGAAACTCTTCCACATTAAGAAGGTTTATGTGCCCCCCTGCCAATTTATTGAGCATTCTTGGGGCTTGGCTTGTCCGCATAAGTGAATTTTTCAAAGAGTTAGATTTAATCCCATCACATAATTTTTTTGTTGTACTCATTTTTAATTAATTTTTATTTTATCAAATTTATCAAAATAATGCGTGGTTTAAATATCAATAGTACAGAGAAGCTCGTAGTAAAAATCCCCTCCTCACCTTTCTCAGTCCCACTTTCTCTAGAGGTTGCCTCTTTCAACTCTTTCATTAGTTTCTATTTCTGTTTATATTGTTGTTTCTTGACTTACCAATTTTAGACATCTGTTAACTTCTTGTGGTAGATGAGAATTGAGCTTTCCTGCAAAAGCACCACCAGCTCTCCTCCCTCCATCCTCCCAAGGAAAGTATAACACGACTTGTGGTTCTCTCAGTAGTGAATGTGGACATATTCTCCTCTGCAGAGCTAAGTAGTGATACGTGTCCTTGAGTTCTGGGGAAAATTGTATACTATTTCTGCGATAATTTTCTCCCCTCTGTTTTATCTGTTGGAACTACTAGATTAATCTTCTGATTTTCTTATATTTTCTCTCTTGTTTCCCCTCCTTTTGTGTTTCGGGTCTACTTTCTTGGGAAACCTTCTGTGACTTTATCCTTTAACCCTTCTGTTGATTTTTTTAATTGTGGCTTTAATATTTTTAATATACAAGTAATCGTTCTTGTTTTCTGATTGTTCCTTTTTCATAATATCACGTTCTTGTTTTACGGATATACTCTGTCTCTGAAGGTATTACTTATTTTTCGTTTGTCTATTTGTTTTAATATTCTTCTATTCTCCATATTGTCTTCATTCCCAGCTGGCTTCTTTCTGTTTGTTTCCTCTCTCCTTGGTGTTGGAGGCTTTCCTTGAATGTCAAATGTCCTGGCTGTCTGTTGCTACTTATGAATGAAGCAGTAAAAAGCTGCATTAGACTGTGTATTTGGGGAGAACTTATCAACTGAGGCTTCACTATAGGAAGCAAGCCAGTCTTTTCATTAACAAGCCTCTAAAGGTCAGATTCTTTTCTTTGGAGCTAGGGTTCTCAACTTTGGTGCTATTGACACTTTGGGCCGAATAATTTCTTATTATCGGGGGCTCTTGTGCAATGTAGAATGGTTAGCAGCATCAGTGAACTATACACACCAGGTGTCAGGAGTAACCCCCCTCCTAGAATTGTGATAACCAAAAATGTCTATAAACGTTGCCGAATGTCCCCTGAGGGCAAAATCACCCTTCTGAGAACCACTACTCTAGAGCCATTCAGCTTCTCAAGAGAAGCATTCTAACTCCTTGTTCCTGTTGTCTATTACTGCATGACAAACCACCCCAAAACTTAGCATAAACAACAATTTTTTTATGCTGCAAGTCAGGAATTCAGAAAAGACACAGCTCTGCTCTGCTCCACAATGTCTGGGGCCTAGATTGGGATGGCTGGAATGACTGAGGGTGGCTCACATGGCTAGGAGTTGGAACAGCTGGGGACGAACTATTTACTTCCAAGATGGGTCTTCACTTGGCAGGGATGGCTGGCAGACTGGGCTCAGCTGGGACTGGTGACCAGAGAGACTACACATGGCCTCTCCAGCGCGGTGGCCTGGTAGTTGGACCTCTTGTGTGGTAGCTCAGGGCTCCAATGTGAATGTTCCACCGGGCAATATGGAAGCTGCATGGCCTTTTATGGCCTGGCCTTGGAAATCACATGACATCACTTCCACTGTAGTCGCAAAACCATCCAAATTTAGGGAAGGAGACAGAGACCCATCTCTCAATGGAAGAAGTGTGAAAAAAATGTGCAGCCATTTTGTACACTTACTGCATTCCAGTACGAGGTGATATATGCCTGGGGCAGGATGGGGTGTGAAGAGGGGGGACATTGAGTCCCACTGTTCTGTCTTCAGATTTTGCTCTCATCCCCCTATTTTCATCCTTGTGTTCATCTGCCCCCTCTTCTCCCTGAGTCTCTCCTATTCAGTGTCTTCAGTCTCTTGCTGTGTGGGGCAGTGTAGGGTGGGATCTGGGATAATTCCTACCAATTTCCCTGGTTCCTTACCCTGCCCCCTCCTATACCTCAGCCCCCACCACCATAATATCTGGTCTCCCCAAGATCTGAGCTCCAGGGTTCTGTGGGGGAAGTGGCTGACCTCCTGTCTATATTCCCCTCTGCAGGCGCTTAGGAGACTAACTTCCTCCATGTCAGCCATCATTCTTCCATCTGCTTTCCAGCTTCCCAGAGTTTGCTGAGCTCTCTCATCCATTGATGTGTCCTTTACCATTCATTTTACTCTTGAGAGTTTATATCATTTTATTTCGTGAAGGGCATTTTAGTAGCTCTTCAGGAGAGAAAGGAGATTGGAACATGTGAATAACCTAACATGTTTAACTGGAAACCCTGTTGTCCTTCTTTTGGATGGATATATCTCTAAATTGTGTTATAATCTTCCCTGCCCTGTTAAGGCTCTGTTATGTAGTACAGTGACCACATTTAACCTTTTGTTGATAATTCAGAGTCATCTTTATGAACATATATGTTTACGTTGGAATTACTAAGTAGAGCTGTCTCTCCATGATGGGCACCCGGATCACTGTACTAAAACTCCTTAAACGTTTTTTCCTGGCCATCTCTGTCTCTGGCTGCTTCTTGTCCCTTTTATTTGTGGTGAGGGTGCCACATTACAGCACGTTAACTTCTGATTTACTCCTTTTAAATGGCTAAACTGGATGACTTCGCAGGGCATCCCCCCCACACACACACCCGTTTGCCGCCCTTCCCCACACCTCCCAGCATTTGACCTTTGTGGTTTGCGTCAACCAGCCTCCATGTTCTCATGTTCCAATTGGGTTTGGCCAATTGAAGACCCCGCAGGAGATTGGAGAGTGATGTTGAGGCGCTGTAGGATGCTTTTTCCCCCCACCTCCCTCCTTTGCCAGGCCTCAGGTCAGTAGGGTGAGTGTTCTTCATCTTAAAGCCACAGTTC